CCCCGCCATAGCAGGGAGACCGGGCCACCATCAGGGCCCGCTGGCCCCCGACCCCTTCCTAGACGCGCAGACCCTGTCCCAGGCCCACACCCCACCTCGTGTTCCACTCTAAGCCCTTCCTGAGGAGCCGAGCTTCTGCTCACCCATCCAGCCAACACGCTGTGGCGAGCCCTCAACATGGGACAACAGCTCCATGTCTCCTTGTTTTGTTACTGAGGTGACGTTCCCGTGATGCGCATGGTGCCATTTGACGGTGCACAACTCTGCATTTGCACCCTCACAGTGTGTGTCACATCACCACCAGCAACCCCCAGTCAAAACTTTATCACCCCAGAAAAACACTCCGTTCTCAGCTAACGTTTTCTTAAAAGTTTGCACTGTGTTTATTTTTGCTGGGTCACATGTGCACACAGTTCAGTCTGAAAGATGCAGAGTCTGAGGGTGGAAAGTCCTCCTCTGGCCCAGCCCCTGGCTCTGCTTCTGAGGGCGAAGGTGACATAGTCTTCCTGTGGGTGGTCCCCGAGGACCCAGACCCCCAAGAAACACGTGCACACACACGCACACGCACCCCTCTCGCTTCACACACCATACACACTGTGGTCATTTCACATGGTGCCTTGGGGCCCACAAGAGCTGTGCTGATCTAACGTTGTGGGTCAGCCATGGCTTTTGTGCTTCACATTCTCATCTGGCACAAAGCGGGTGGCGTGGGCAACCTGCGTTGACATCACTGCACATAGGCCAGCATATCTGCGGGAGAAACCCCAGAGCTGGGGTTGCTGCAGGCTGCCGGCTGTGCCTCCCCTCCTATGGTCGGGGCTTCCTGAGTGTACCCTGCAATGAACACCAAGCGGTGCTGGCACATCCATTCCCCCAGCTGCCCTGCAGGTGGCTTTGGTTATCACCCCCTCCCCGTTTACAGATAAGAAACTGAGGCCCATGAGGCTCTGTGACGGTTGTAAGGGACAGGGAGGATTCCCATCAGGTCAGCTGGGTTTGGCCCCAACCTCCCACCACAGACATCAGAGAGCCTGGAGCCCCGTTCCCAGAGCTGAGACAATTGCGGGGATCTCGCACCCTCACCCTCCAACCAGACCCAGGGGTGTGTCCTGTGGTCTGACTAGCTCAGCCAACACATCAGGGCAGCCTGGGACAGAGAGGGACCTGAGCAGAACCCGAGGGTGCTGGTGTCGGCTGGGCAGATGCAGCCCTCCCCACCTGGGACCTCTCATCACCAATGTCGCTTCCCTAGGTGGAGCTAAGTGGCCCATCTGTGGTGTCCTCCATGGTCTTCTGGGGGGACCCATGGAACCCCAGCAGCCAAGGGAGACAGCGAGGTCAGGGAGGTGGCCAAAGGCTGGAGATGAAAGGAGGGGTGCCTGGAGGTGGCTGCTGGCTTAGGGGAGCAGCCTACTCCCCGAACCTCCCAGGAGGGCCATGGACAAGGATTCCTATGGGAGAGGGGGCTGGGATGACCCAAAAGGGTTCTGCCTGTCATTTACCTGGGGGACTTCACTCTGAGGGAGGGGCCTGCCACACAGCGGTCAGAGCTGGGAGGGGGACTTGGGAGGTACTGCCTGGAGACAGCGGTGACATCAGCATGATTACACAGGATGACACAGATGTCTTGTTCCGTCTGAGGTGCTGAAGGGATCAGAGGGCATCTTTGTGTGTCTTGGGCGTTGCCGGTTCACTGCACATGACACTTGTGGGTTAGGCCCAACGGGATTTCACCAAATGAATAAACTCTTTCTGGCCACAGTCCTGACAAAGGAGAAGGCACAGCCACCACAGCCTTAGTGCTCAGTCCACACTGTGCTTCACTGCAGGAACCAGTAACAAAGTGAGGCCAGGACACACAAGGACCCTGGGTGCCACCAAATCTGCAGTGCTCAGCCAGGTGACCAGCATCACAGCAACACTGACGAGTCACGCTGAGAGCACAGACCCTGACGTCACGTGATGAGAGGGCACTTTGCCTCTGGGGTCTTCCTCCCCCAAGACCACGAGGCCAGACTAACCGTGAGAGACACGTCAGACAAATCCCAACAGAGGGACAGTCTCCAGAACCTCCGCCCAGTGCTCCTCAGAACTGCCAAGGTCACCCCAACAAGGAGCGTCTGAGACGTCACAGCCCAGGGGAGTCTGAGGAGACATGAGGACTAAATGTCACATGAGACCCTGGAGCAGAAAAGGGACAATAGGTTAAATACTAAGAAAATAAGTGTGGACTTTAGTTAATAACAATATAGCAATAATGATATATCAACATTGGCTCATGTATTGTGACAAATGTCCCCAAAGTGTGTAAGATGTTCACAGAGAGGCAGACTGGGTGTGGGGTGCATGGGGACTGTGCTCAGTTTCTTTGTAGATTTAAAACTGTTCTAAAATATAAAATTTATTTTAAATTTTTGTAAACACAAGTTTTTTTATTCAGACAAGAATATAAATCTAGTTATTTTTTTAAAAATTGTAGTAAAATACACTTCATTTATTTTGTTTGTTTGTTTTTGGTTTCTTTTTCTTTTGTATTTTGCACTTCATTTATTTTTAAGTGTATTCTTTTTTCTAGTTCAGAAAGTAATCAATAACCCTTTTAGAAAATGTGAAAAGCACTGAAAAGCCCAAAGCACCAGCAAAAGCACCTGTTGCCCCACACCTGAGAGGTGACCACGGGGACAGTTCAGGCGTGCACCAATTGTTCCGTGGTCCCAGAGGCTGACGTGTCCATGTACCTTTTGTCTCAGATCAGGGAAAGCCTGTGCCTCACGACCTGGCCGCAGCCTGTCTGGCCCCCTGGCCACTCGCCACATTATCCTATGCACTCACAGGGCGGTCTGTCCCACGGATGTGCCCTCATTCAGTGCCCCATCCCTACTGTTGAGCTGTACGTGGTTTCCAGTTAAATTCACTTAAAGTTGTGTTGCAATTTCCGCAGTGTGAGAAACTGTCGCTCTAGAATCTCTGTGTTTTTGTCATTGTGATAAGTTAGCAAACAGACTTTTATAGTAGAAGACCACCAAAGGGCACCTTTCTCACTTACCACACCTGCCACAGGGTGCCTGGGAGACCGCCTGAGCCTCCCTGGCCATCCCTGAGCACTGGGGACACCCCAAAGTCTCCCTGAAATTCCCAAAGCTTCAGGCACTACAAGTTGAACCTCTTTGGTTGGGGGTGTGGAGGGAACAGAGGCAGAGGCCAAGGGCACCGTGAGGGTGGTGCCCCAGGGACCGTTTGTGTGGTTAACAAACGTGGCTGGGTTCACTGTTAAGGTTCACTGAGCTATGAACTCCAGCTGAAGTATGGCATGTGTCTGCTTGAGATAAACCGTCTAATTCAAGCAAAGCCTTCCTTCTAGCTCCCATGGTCCCAAGGCAGCTGCTGCGGATGCTCAGAGGGCCAGTGCAGAGGACCCCTCCTCAGGGCAGAGCCCGTCTCCTGCGTGTGACAGTGACCTGGTGCCCCCCCTCCCGCCCCAGGGAGTGGGCAGGCCCCATGGAAAGTCCACTTTTGGAGGCCTTCTTACCCACTCATGGTGTCCAGACACTGTCCCCGAGGATGAAAGACCTGAAAACCAATGGGAATCCTGACTTCATGATCACGTTCACTGCTCTGAAAACATGTTAGGTCAGATGGCTGGTACGACTCTGCTTTTAAAGCAGGTGGGTGTGTGTTCACAGAGAACGCTGCCCACAGAAGCATCACAGAAGCCAGGACCCCTGGGAAGACATAAACCAGGGACATTCCCAACCAGATGGTCAGGCTGCTCACGCTCTGGACATCCCCACATCACGATTCTCCCAGTGGACATGCTGAGGAGACCCCACATCTCCCACGGGGGTTTCCTGCCAAGATCATTTTAGCTGGAATCTAACAATAAGGAAACAGACAACACACACTGAAAGACAGTCTAGAAAGCCACTGTCCTGGACACTCCAAAAAGCCGGTGTTATAAAATACCAAAAAAGGCAGAGACTAGTCTAGAATAAAGGAAAGTGGGAGACACGACAGCCCAGTGCAATGCATAATCCCAGTCAGATCCTGGTGCAAAAACTTGAAAAGCTATGAAGTGTATTTGGGAGCGGGGTGGGGAAAACTGAATAAGGACCAGTGTTATTAAATTCCCCAAGTGTCAGCATCACAGTCAGGCTCCATAGGCTGACGGCCTTGCTCTTGGGAGGTGTCCATGGAAGCTTCTAGGGGTGAGCTCTCCTAGCTGCAGAATTAACCTTCTTACTAATCATCAATGAGAGGGCAGAGGGCACAGATAGCAAAGTATTAGTAACTCTTGAGTCCAGGTGAAAGGTCTACGAGGGCTCATAGTGCTATTTCGCAACTCTTCTGTAGACTGGGAATTTTTCTAAATGAAAAGTGGGAGGAAATACATCTAATTAAACACACACACACACACACACACACACACACACACGAGATGGTCACTAATAGCGGCTGAATCCAGGCGATAAGATCACAGGCAACTTTTGTCTCTGTTTTCCTGTACTGTTTAGGTCTGACCTTGTGCTGCTTGCACATTCAGAAAGAAAGGTTTTCATCTGCAGAAACATTTCACACGTTATTAATACTTAAGTCTAAAAATGGGAGAGTTTTTTTCTAAGTGTTTACATGCCTAGGAGGAACCAATAAAGAGCTCCACGATGATCCCCCCACATCATAACTAAAACTACACCCCCCAGGGTCAGGCTGGGGGCTGTGAGAAGAATGGGGGGCACCTTTGCAAGCGGGGCACAGGGTCTCCATGCTCCACTTCCCTTCCCCACCATCTCCCAGGGATCAGAGCTGAGCGTGGGCCCCGGAGACAATGGTAACAGGGTCCTGAAACCATCCAAGCTCTGAACCAAGACACCTCCTGAAATGACTGAAGGGAACCCACCCCCCACACCACCCCCTCCATCCGTTCCCTACCCCTGCCTCCCTTCCCCACCCCTCTGCTGTTCTAGCCTCCCTGCACCCCTCCCCCAGCTCGGCTGGCCCTGGAGGCTGCTTGGGCTGAAAACACCGGTGGAGACATGGTCGTTCTCTGCTCTCCTCTCCTCTCTTCCCCTACCGGCAGTGGCGCCAACTGACCGACAGACGCAGGTGCAGTGGAGGCAGGGGGGTGCCAGCAGCCAAGGGCTTCATGGTTTTGGAAGGGGCTTGGCATGGGACACAGGGGTCAGGTGTCCCCCACAATGGGGACAGGCCGACAAGCTGCTATTCTGGGGCTCTGATCACGGCCACCTATTTATAGCGCTGGGAGGGGGGAGGCCTTGGCCCTCCCCACACAAGCAGCAGAGAGGCTGCCTACTGCAATGTCACTGCCACTGCAGACTGCCAGCAGCTGCCACCACATCCCAGCCGAAGGAGACAGAGGGGCTGCAGTCTGACAGGAACCCCAGGACCACCAGGTGCTGTGTGAGGAAAGGACGTGGCCGGTCAGATGGGCAGCACCATGGAGCCCCCTGGGGGCGGGTACTTGCACCTGGGCGCTGTGACGTCCCCGGTGGGCACAGCTCGTGTGCTGCAGCTGGCCTTCGGCTGCACCACCTTCAGCTTGGTGGCGCACCGGGGTGGCTTCGCGGGCGTCCAGGGCACCTTCTGCATGGCAGCCTGGGGATTCTGCTTTGCGCTCTCGGGTCTGGTGGTGGCCTGTGACTTCACCCGGCTCCATGGCTGCCTACACCTCTCCTGGGGCAACTTCACTGCAGCCTTCGCTATGCTGGCCACGCTGCTGTCGGCCACGGCCGCCGTCATCTACCCGCTGTACTTCACCCGGCTGCAGTGCCCACCTGAGCCTGCAGGTTGTGCAGCCAGGGACTTCCGCTTGGCCGCCAGCGTCTTCGCCGGGCTCCTCTTTCTGGCCTATGCTGCAGAGGTGGCCCTGACCCGGGCCCGGCCAGGCCAGGTGGCCAGCTACATGGCTACGGTGTCCGGACTGCTCAAAATTGTCCAGGCCTTCGTGGCCTGCATCATCTTTGGGGCACTGGTCCATGACAGTCGCTACGGGCGCTATGTGGCCACCCAGTGGTGTGTGGCGGTCTACAGCCTGTGCTTCCTGGCCACGGTGACCGTGGTGGTCCTGAGCGTGATAGGCCACACGGGCGGCCTGCACTGCCCCTTCGACCGAGTGGTGGTGGTATACACCTTCCTGGCTGTGCTCCTCTACCTCAGTGCTGCAGTCATTTGGCCCGTCTTCTGTTTCGACCCCAAGTACGGCATGCCTGGGCGGCCCCCCGACTGCCCTCGGGGCAGCTGCCCCTGGGACAGCCAGCTGGTGGTGGCCATCTTCACCTACGTCAACCTGCTCCTCTACGTGGCCGACCTCGCCTACTCCCAGAGGATCCGCTTCGTGCCCTCTCTATAGCCCATCAGGTGGTAACCCACTCACCTCTGCTGTCCCGGGGCACCAGGCACCATGAGAGTGACCCAAGAGAACACAGACCCTCTGGGAACGAGCCGGAGGAGGAGGCAACCAGCACAGCCACTCCTGGACTTCTGGCAGCGCTGGCAGCTTGGGGGCAGGAGGGGTGGGGAACAGAGGAGCAGGAGGCCCTGAGCAGGACATCAGAGGAGGCTCCTCTGCCAGGCAGCGCCCAGCCTTTTCTGTTTGTCACTCTCTGTCTGTTTCCCTCTCCCTCTCTGTCTGTGTCTCTCTGTCTTCCTCTCTCTCTGTCTCTGTTTCTCTCTATCTCTAGCTTTATTTCTCTGTCTCTGTCCCTATTTTCTGACCCTCTCTGTCTCAGTGATGGTCACTGTAACACCTGAGAAACCTTTGAAGTAGGTGCTGTTGTGACCCACTTTGCAGATGGGGACACTGAGGCTCAGATTTAGGAGGCGGCCCCGCCCCATGTGTCCATCAGTGTCTGGAGCCCACATTCAGGCTGGGTAACCTACGGAGAGTTAAAAAACAATCAATTCTCAGAGGTGTGGGAAGGGGTTGGAGAGAAGCCCAGGAGAGGGCCAGAGCTGGGCCGGCAGAGGAGTGTGGCGGCCGGGTCTTTCTCCAGCCTTGCGGGGGGGTGGGGGGACAGTTCCCAGAACCCTGGAATGACATCTATCAAAGCAGGGCTCTGCTGAAGGGTCTGCGCTCCCGGAAGAGGACCCAGGAATCGGCGCCCCAGTGCGCCTGTCTTTCAGCGGCCACAAATGCCCGAGTCGGGGCCAAGACTGTGGTGTGGTCACACAGGGCAGCCTCAGTGGGCTGTAGACAGCACAGGTGGCCTGTAGTGGCCCGCAGAGAGCATAGCACGCTGAGGAGAAGCTGGGTTCCCACTCAGGCAGGCCTCTCACCATTGGTCCCCATGCAACAGTGTCTGCAATGTCTGCTGTGGGCCCAGGGGAGACTGGCTTGGGGCAGCCACTGGAATGCACAGCCTGGGCACCGGGCACCTCTCTGCTGCTCAGGCCATGACCTCCACTCAAGTGTCCATCTCCTCAGCCACTGACCACCAAAGCCCACTTTCCAGCCTGCTTCTCCCACTCAAGAGCCCAGCCTGAGCTGGCCCGGAGCAGCCCACTGGTCGACCCATGGACTGGCCAGGGCCTTGAGCAGGAAATAAATGCCAACACTTATTTGCACCCTGGCTCTGGTGAGCAGTCTCTTCCAAGGGGACAGTGGTCAACTGCAGCTCTTGGGCCAGTCCCCAGCATGCTCTGAGGAGGAGAGCCTAGACCCCGCTGGGCTGAGGGAGGGGGTAGCCATGAGGGGACCTGGGCTACTCCAGGGTGAGGGACAGCCTCCAAGGAGGGAGCAGGCGTGTCCACTCCTTCAGTGGGGACGAGCGTGGGGGAAGATGGGGATGCCGAGCATGTCCCCCCCTCTCAGCGGCTCTCAGCACTTATCCCCACCCCATACCTCTGCTGGGATTTCCAGGGGAGCCCGGGCACGGTGGTGGACAGAGGGGTGCTACACCCAGGTGGGCAGTGGAGCCCAAGGAGCTTTCAGACACAGTGCCGAGGGCTCCCTGTGGCGGCACTGAGCAGGGTGTGAGTCAGGCAGCCCCTGCCCGCTAGGGAGAGCACTCTGACAGGGGTCCTTTACCTCAGGGAGAGGGTGTGGCAGGCTCATCAGCAGATCCTGGAAGAGGCGGGAGCCACTGTGTCCTGAGGTGGTGGAAAGGACCCCGCTGGCTGAGGGAGGGTGGGGATTAGGGGACACATTTCCAGGTGACAAAGGAGCGTATGGGTCACTCCCTTTCCAGCTCACAGGCCTGGACACCTTTTTTTTTTTTTAAAGATTTTATTGAGGTATTGGAGGGGAACAGCGTTGGGGAATCAGGGAAGGGGAACAGACAGGTAGACAAATTGCTGTTTTGTTCTTCAGTCTAGTTGTGGAGGACGTCGCTTCACTGGCACACGTTGGTATGATCATTGTGCTCTTTCTAGGTGAGGCAATTGGTCGCAGGTCATTGGTTGGCCGTTCTCAGCGGCTCACAGCAGCTCTCCCCGGCTGCCAGTGCTCACGGGCAGCCCACTGCAGCCCAGCTGCAGCCTATGCCAACCCAGGCGACTCACAGCAGCCCAGCGTCAGGTCGAGCTGTTGTTCACCATCTTAGCTGTAGAGGGCACAACATCACTGGCCCTCATGTGGGATCTGAACTGCAGCCCTGCTGCTCAGAGCTGGCGTCCCAAGTGAGCTCTTAACCAACTGAGCCACTCGGCTGGCCCCTGGACACCTTTTTTAGCCAAACTTTTGAAATGAGTTATGTCACCAGCTTCCCAATTTCCTCACTGCCCGTTGACCTTCTGTCCCCAGCGCTCCACCCACCCTAAATTTCCAAGGTCTGAAGGTGAGACAGAGGAGGGGAGGGGACCCAGGGCTCACGATGAGCCTGGCAGAGGTCCTGGGGGAGCTCACGTGGGGACGCTGCTGCTGACACTCCATCCCTAGACCGCAGGACTCTCTTGTTGGGAGAGGGAGTTATTTGCTGTTATTACTTGAAAAACAGTACTTTACACGAAGAGGTTCCATTTTCTGATTACAGACAGGCAGGTGAAACGCAGTAGGTTTGTGCGTGTGCCACTCCCCTGAGCAGCCCCAGCCTTGGAGGGTGAGGACTAATCCCAGGACAGACAGACAGGGAGGCCTGGAACTCTGCAGTTCACATGGTCACCACACAGTGCTCTGGCAGTGGTGGTGGCCGTTTTGTCACAGGAAAGCCACAGCCCTGCTTCTGCAGCACAAGCATCCGAGTGATTCTGAAATTGTTTAGGTGTCGTTTAATGTACAGAATTGATAAAACACAGCAGCTCACACCTCCCCCAGGTGGGGATGGGTTGTCCGCAAGGATCACTTCTTTGCCCTTGACTCTGCTGAACCCAAACGCAGCTTCTGCTTAGATAAGCCCTGGGCCCGTCCTCAGGGAGAAATGACTAGGGCCACGTTCTCCCAAAAACTCAGCACCAAAACCTTCCATGCATCCTGCAGACGTCAGGAAACACGGGGTGTGTGTGTATGTGTGTGTCCCCTGGGAGGTGGGGAGCACTGTAGGGTCACCTTTCTCTGTCTGTTGGGTAACCTTCCTTTGTTTACTGGGTGACCACCACCGCCCCAAATGCCTGTTGGGTATGTTGACATGGCAACAGGCCCATGGCCTGAATGTCAGGCAGCTTTCTAAGGGCACCTGGCTCAGGAGAGATGATGAGACAAGGCCCAGGTGGCAGAAGCCGTGGGCCTCAGGGGACTGCTTAGACTCCCAGGTGTCTCCCGATGCTGAGTTTCTCTCCTGTTTCCCAGCCTCCTGATACAATAATAAAAAAAAAAAGTTTCAGGCCGGCCGAGTGGCACATTGGTTAAGAGCTGGCTTGGGACGCCAGAGGGCCCCAGTTCGAATCCCACATATGAGGGCCAGTGACACTGCCCTCTACAGCTAAGATGCTGAACAACAGCTCAACCTGGAGCTGGCTGCCATGAGTCGCCAGCAATGGCG